CTTGTGTTTATATGAGAAACTTTCATCCCGCTTGCCGGGACGATTTTGTTACATTGTATTGTTTTGACAGTTGTTAAAAATAGATTGCGGTGGTATCTTTGAACTTTCATCCCGGCAACCGGGATAGCCCTCTTGTAAATGTTTATATGGAGAAATTTCCATCCCGTCTCTTTCAAAGGAGATCTCGGCAACCGGGCCAGTCCGCTTGTCCATATAAACGCACAATAATTTTTACTATAAAAATAACTACACAGCGAGATCTTGCTTACTAGGCAGTCTCGCTTATCAGGCCGGCTTCCATATAAACAGGCCCTAAGTCTGAAAACAATGATGAAGACTTTGATGAAGAGAGCTGTACCATTGATTATGATGATGTGAATTCCAACACAGAAACTGAGGGAAATTCTAAAGTCAATGACTTACAAATTCTATACAATGCTGCAAGAAATGCAATGCTGCAAGAAATACCAAAACTGAATCTTCCTTGGCCATTTGGCATCTGATTTGACAAGGGATAATATTTCAAATCCGACTATGAGGTCAGGACTAGACTAGATTTCAAGTCCACACAATTTGATTACGTCCGAGGCGAAGCAGAGGACTGGATCAAAATGTGAGGACTTGAAATCTAGTCCAGTCCGAATTGGAGGATTTGAAATGACATCCATACGAATAAATCACTACTTAGTTAATTTTGATCCAGTTCAAGGACTGAATTAGTTTTAATCCAGTCCTAGGACACTACAGGATCAATATACTTCATAAGGTATCCAGTATTATCATGTGAGCAAAATAAAGCAATATGATTGGCTAATTTGCTCATGAATTATTAATGATTTGAGGTGAACAATGGTGGTAATGCACATAGATATTATCAGTGGAGTAGATCAGTATTTATTTACTTATTCGATATTCTCAATCGAACCACAGTATTTATATTATCAGCACATATATCCCTCTCATGGACAGGGTAACAGTATGGTCATGTCTGGGAAGCTAAAACGCACCCTGGTGGAGGAGCTAAAATGCACAGCAGCAAACCTATAAGAAAAAGTCAATTTGTGTGGACAAGAAAAACCATAATGAATCGTTCGTTGTTATTCTAGATAGTGGCTAAATACCAACTTATGTCACAATATAAATAATAATATATGTAATAGTTCAAATACGAGAAGTAGAACTTTACCAGACAAAAGCCAGGACAGCTTATTGCAGAATATATGCAATCTCGTTTTGAGCGTGCAAGCCCTTAGCCTGCGGTGCAGACGCAATTTCCTGCAACTAGCAAGCCCTTGGCCAGGATCCAATAAGTGGGATTTTATTGCTCTGATGAAAATCTGGGTTCAAAGATGAA